AAATTGGACTTTATTGTCACCAGATTGGCTACCACAACCCTGGGGAACATCTTACAGTTCATTTGGCACCAATCTTGTCTGCAGAAGGTGTTCACAGCCGTGCAAGAGTTACCCACGGCCTGCAGCTGCACTTGAGGCCAGGGAGGCAGCCAACCCTCTGCCTACTGTTGGAGCTTGTTGTATCTGAACCCTGTTCCTCCCCCCTCTGGAATGGTGGGGGTTATCCCGGTCTACACTGAAGGTTTTACACCAAGACCCAAGTCTCTCTGGCAAGTTGGAGAGCTGAGGCCTAGCATCCAAAAAAGACCCCTTTCAGGAGTCGTCCACGCTTATGGAGCCGTTGCTTGTGACTGCACTTGTGAATCATTTTGGGCAAGCTCAGCAAAAGGCAGCTTAGCTCTTTTCCTGCTGTTCAACGCATGGCACCTAGGAGCCGTCCTGCCATTTGCCGCCGCAAGTGCACGGCTACCTCACATGTTCCCAGAGAGGAGCAGCATGAGGGAGGCCGCAAGAACCCACCACAACGTATTCACCGCCATCCGCCCCACTTGCAGAGGAGAAGGCGCCTTCGCTCATCACGTGTCCATGCTGCCTTCAGAGGCCTATCTGTCACGCAGCTGGGAGCGTGGAACCGCGAGTCTGCGGAAGCAAAATCCAACCAACACACAGATTGTCTGCCTGGGAAGTCTTGGACTGGACTCTGGGGGTTTGGGAATCATTGCAGTGGCTGAGGGTGATGGGAGCTGGGTCTCTCTAATCAGGGGCATAGTTTAGGTGGCACATGATTCTTACCTACTGCTGAGCTGTTGTGCAACTGTTCTCCTAATGCACATTGCTTGATAAGCCTATGCTGTTTTACCCCACTTCACTACTCTATCTGCTCAGCTGACATAGTATCACCAACGCCCCCACAAGTGGTATTTACCTCTTGCAGTAATCCCAAGCCCTACAGGTTTTTCTGCCATACCTACACATTTTATCACAAATTAGAGCTGTGTTTTTGCGGTTTGTTTACCTTTACTGTTCTAAAGCACATTGCTCATTTTGTTTATATTTAGTTTATCTTAAATACGACTGGAGGGCTTTATTAGCCTACAAGCTAACTTCATGATCTCTCTACAAACGTGTGCCTAGCCTGACCACCTACGCTTTATTTAGTTACCCATCATGGCTATATGTTCTATATGTTCTTTTTAGCTTAGTGAATATAGTATATAACACCCTCTCTAGACATATCCGCTTAGCTTGAAGTTACTTTATTTTTAAAAAAAAAATTACAAAATTGTGCAGTTTTATTTAAGCTTTACCCTATATGAGAAATTTAGTAGACATACCCTCACTATTTATCCTAGCATTTAATAAAGGATTTTCCCTAATAGGTCTTGGGAAGGTATTGTCTCTTATTAATATTTACAATATTTATTTATCAAGATTGCCTTAGGTTGTCACTTTGGGATTTTCACTTTTTTCACTTTACTATTATATGCTCTATTTTAATAAAAGGGTTATCCAACGATTTCTGGTTCCGTTTTTCTGGAATATGTTTTTTATTTAAGCCATGCAAATGCTATCTCATGTTTTACTTTGTACTTTCAACAGCTATTGTGGCTGGGCAAGCGTTTTTTTTTTATGTATTGCTATGCACAACTAAAATAAATTATATTTAAAAAAAAAAAATCTAACAGTTTTAGGACATTCACAGTTAAAATGCCATACAGAACTAAGAAAATAACAAACTGGACGGACAAACCCATCACATGGCTAGGTCGCCTACACTCAATAAAAATGAACCTTCTACCAAGACTACTATTCCTATTCCAAGCACTCCCGACTCGAGTTACCAAGAGCGACTTAGCTGACATACAAAAGGCGGTAGACGCCTTTATCTGGCAGAGAAAGCGGCCCAGAATAGCCAAAACAATACTATATAATCCCAAATGGAGAGGAGGCCTGGGAATGCCCCACCTCCACCATTATTGTATCACAGCTCAAGTAGCCCAAATAGCCCACTGGCTATTGGGTCGACATAGAATCCCTCCTGACAGGCGCAGACCTCCCACAGTTCCTCATATGGACACTGAGAAAACATAGAGTACTCTTACGGACCGATTGCCCTTCCATTCTAAACTCCATCGGCTTATGGGACCAAATCGCACAGAAATGTAAACTTACAAACCTCCCATCCCCAATGACCCCAGTACTACGCAACAGAGCATTCCCACCGGGAATTAGGGCAAGAGACTTTAAAGGCATAGAATCCACAGGCCTACACCTGTATATTGACAACCAACTAGTACCATACCAACACTTACAAACCCTTGCCCCATTAAAAACCCGCAACTTCTTCCAATACGTCCAATTGCGAGATTTTGCACAAACCAAGGAGGTCAAAACGGCAAATGCCAAACCCATTACTTTCGTTGAACAAATCTGCCTAAAAGAAAAAATGCCAGTGAAATTAATCTCACCGTTATACAACCACATATGCCTAGAATCAGGAACGTGGGGAACACAGACATACACAGACAAATGGGAACAGATGTGGGTGAAACGTTGGAGGGGACAGAGTGGCAAGATATATGGGAGGCAAACGCAAAAGTGTCTATATGCACGACCCTCCAGGAACAAGCATACAAAACAATGCTACGGTGGTATACAACCCCCGTTAAAACAATGCCACATGCAACTATGTCCCACAGACACCTGTTGGCGACTATGTGGGGAAAAAGGCACATACATCCACATGTGGTGGCACTGCACCAAAGTAAAAGAGTTTTGGAGAAAAATAGTTGACATGAACACTAGAATCTTACACCGACGAATAACACTGGACCCTTGGGCATGTCTTCTATCATGACCGAAGGAAGGACTAGACAAACATGACCAAAGACTATTGAATATGCTTAATCTAGCAGCTCGAAGAGCATTGGCACAATGCTGGATAAAACCTGAGACACCCCCAATCTCTCTAGTAATCTCCAAAATCAGGGATAATTATTTAATGGACAAGATGACAGCACAGGTCCGCAACACCACCACCACATTCCAAAAGGTATGGGCCCTTTGGGAACAATATGATGAAAAAACACAAGACGAATAAGCACCCACCCACAGACGACTACTCACTCGTGCAGATTTAACTATATTTTTTGACAGGCGAAACGAAAACTGCGCGATGGCAGCTTCTACGCAACCCACATGGAATGTACCAACAATATATATTATGTACGCTAATAACCTAACCTTCCTTTCTGTAACATGATCAAAGCGAAATCGGTGACTGGGCTTCTGCGTAAGCCGACATTGATGTCACACTAAATGTCTGTCAATGCATAAAGAATTTTAAAAAATAAAATAAAAAAATAACATAATTTCCTAATTTCTCACTTTTTTTTTAGATTTTATTCATATTAAATTGTTTCATATATGAATATTTGATGTGAAATAATAAGTGAGGGTGCATCTAATATGAATGAGGTCAATTATGGTTGAACAGACATATAGCTCAAATTCTAGGTTTTGTTTGTTTAGTACTTGTACAATTGTCCCCATCCTTAAGGGTTTAAAAAGAGTAATGATCCTTGCATAGCAAAAAGTACTCTTTATAAGGTGCACTTTAAAGGCATAAATACTGTACAGGGACATTATTAATCAAGCAATAGCATTCCAAACATCCAACTTTATGTTTTAAAACATCACACATCAACTTTTAAAACATGGAAGACTGTTGGAAACATGGTACAGTACACTTCAACTGTACATAAATCACACGCCAACAGGGAAAACATGGAAAATTTCAAAACAATTTCAACACTTTTTGGAAGATGAGGAGGACGAGGGTAATTGGGCAGCACTAACACAAGCAGGTTCTTCTTCATGTCTAGGCTGTTTTTGTAGGAACCTTTCCATTGTCTGCTGCCTCTGGCGCCTTTTAAGCATCCCTCGGAAAGGGGACATGATGTCTGTGTCAAAACTGCTCACAAGTCTCTGGGCTAGAGCCTTATCTGGGTGGTGCTGCTGTACAAAAGTCTGTAGGTTTACCCACATGTGGTATGCCTCCTTGAGTTCCGTGAAAGAGAGCTGTTCCTTACTCATTTCCTCCTCCTCCTCAAATGCAATCTGCTCCTCCATCGCCTCCTTCTGCAATTCCACCAGCTCCTCGGTGGTTAGGTCACGGTCGTGTTCCTCCACCAGCTCGTAGACATCCTCCTCAGTCATCTCCAGGCCCATGGTCCTGCCCAAGGAAACAATTTCCTCCAACACTGTTGACTCTGGTGCAGGTGCAGAAGCACTGGAGGCAGGTTTCACCACACAGTCTGGCCACAGGTTGCGCCAAGCAGAATTTAGGTTTGTCTGGCCGGGGTGGCCCAGGCAATGGTGATAATCTGCAGACAGCTCACAATGTCAAAATGCTCTTTCCAAAATTCATGGAGGGTGAGGCTTGAGCGATCTGTCATCTCAAAGCATTGCCAGAAAAGCTCCCTTGTGTAGAGTTTTTTAAAATTGGAGATGACCTGCTGGTCCATTGGCTGGCGTAGTGGGTGGTGTTAGACGGAAGGAACATGGCCTTAATGAAATTAAAGTCCTCCAGCAAGTCTTCCTCAAGGCCTGGAGGATGGGCAGGAGCATTGTCCATGAGCAGCATGGCCTTGAGTTGCTGGTAACTGTCCACAAGGTACTTCTTCACAGCAGGACCAAAAACCGCATTGACCCACTTCACAAACAAGAGGCGTGTGACCCAAGCCTTTGGGTTGGACCCCCACAAAAGGCCCAACTGCTCCTTGTTCACCTTGTGTTTCTTCAAGGCCCGTGGGTTCTCTGAATGGTAGACAAGGGTGAGATAACCGAGGTTCCACTGTAAATCATTAACGGGACACTATATCGGAACTTGCAGCCTCTCCATGCCTGACCACACTGTGGATGCCAGATCTGGTCTTGAACCTTTCGAACCACCCCCTGCTGGCCTTGAAGCCTTCTGCATCTGCTGACGTTCCTGGCTGTTATTTGAGGAGGTCAGCGTGCAAGGCCTTGGCTTTTTCGCAGACAGTCGCCTTGGTCACTGAGTCCCCTGCACGCTGCTTCTGTTCAATCCAGAGCAGGAGCAACTTCTCGACCTCCTCCAGAACAGGTGGCCGTTGCTTGGAGACTCTGGTGACTCCCTTGGCTGCATCTCTCCCAGTTATCTTCTCTTTCATCTTTAGGATTGTACCGATTGTGGATGGACTCCTTCCATTCTCTTTGGCGAGGTCAGTCAATCGCATTCCTCCTTCATGCTTCCTGATGATTTCTTTCTTGTCCTCAAGCAGACTCATCTCCTTCTTCCTCTTCCCAGCTTCCACTGCTTTCTTGGGTGCCATGACATCAGCGTCACTAAGTATGCAAAAAAAATAAATGCTTTACACCCACATGAGCTGGCATGGAAAACAACCCCACAATGCAAAACACACAGTAAAAGGAATGCACAGCACATAAGCTGTAACAGGCATGCACTGCACATGAGCTGGCATGGGAACCACAGTAAAAGCCATGCGCAGCACATGAGCTGTAACAGGCATGCACAGCACATGAGCTGGCATGGAAAACAACCCCACAATGCAAAACACAGAGTACAGTACTGTAAAAGGCATGTACAGCACATGAGCTGGCATGAAAACCATAGTAAAAGACATGCACAGCACATAAACTGGCATGGGAAATCACCCCACAATGCAGAACACACAGTAAAACCTTGCTGCAAATGGCTCCAAAACTTTCTGCAAATGGCTCCAAAGCTTGCTGCAAATGGCTCCAAAACCTCTCCAACACCTCCACACTCACATGCTACCCAGACTCCAGTATGCAGGGGGCAGAGCAATAAACCGGGACACTTGTTTCGTATTGCAAAAAAAATTCGTAAACCGAGGCATTTTTTTCTACGGATTCTCATTCGTAAACCAAATTTTTCGTTTACCGAGGCGTTCGTTAACCGAGGTTCCACTGTAAATCATTAACGGGACACTATAGTCACCAGAACAACTACAGCTTAATGTATTTGTTCTGGTGAGTATAGTCAGTTCCTATAGGCTTTTTCCAGTAAACACTGTCTTTTCAGAGAAAAGGCAGTGTTTACATTACAGCCTCGGGACACCTCCAGTGGCCACTCCTCAGGTGGCTACTAGAGGTGCTTCCTGGGGCTGTGCTGCACACTGTGCAGCACTGACATTCAGTGTCTACAACCTCTGCATGTGAGACACTGAACTGAACTTTCCTTTTAAATATGCATTGATTCAATGCAGCTCTACGAGGAGATGCTGATTGGCCAGGGTGACATTTGGCTCCACTTCCCAGCCCGCCTCCTTGGCTGAAATCATCAGAATTGACAATCTCCGCCAATCCAATGCTTCCCTATGAGAAGATTAACACTTCTGATGAAATTCCTTATGATCAGTTTTAGTAAGGGATGTTAGAGCAGAATCCAGATTGAAATGAGTCAAGGAGGGAGTTTGCGCTGGTAAAGTGAACTAGTCAAGTGTATATGGGTTGATAGTTAGAAGTAGGGTCAAAAGATGGCTTTTTAGCATGGGATTGACCATGAAATGTTTGAGGGAAACGGAGAAGAGAGATTGACAGTATATGTGAATGATGGGACAAGACTTGGGAAATGAGATTTAATATGATCAAAGGGACAAGTGGTGGGGTGGGAGAATAAAAGAACTGCAGATACCTCCTGTCCAGAGACAGTGGAAAAAGGAACTGAGTTGAAGTTGAGTTGTTGGGGCAAGAGGAGAGGGGATACTCCTAATGCCAGTACAAAAGTAACATACAAAATCTCTGACAAAATCTCTGTCTATGATGTTACCATATTGAGAGGTTGCAAAGGTTTGTGGTTCTGAGGAGGGAGGTAAAATACTTGTATTTTATCCCCCTCCACAGGATGGAGTGATACAATTTAGCATGAATTTGTTATGCAGGAATTTAGGACCTTCTTTCAACAGAGTTTTACAATGTGGAACATCTTTGTAAGTAACAGATGAGCATACCGGGACCAAGTTGAATGCAGGACTGCTTCTTAGAGTGAGTTTTGAGTATTGCAGTCATATTCAGAGCGTTAAAGAGGACATAATTCTAAAATAAAAGTGCTTGAGAGGGCAAGAAAAAAGTTGAGAAAGGTCAAAGTGGAGAATGGAGAGCAGAAATTGTAAATTTAGATTTAGTCTAGGCCAATTTGAGTTAGATTTATATTTTCAAGTGAAAAGTAAATTTACTGCACAAGTTAGGAGATGATCATACAGAGGGAAATGAGTTATATAGAGAGTAGAGATAGAGCATAGGTTGGAAAAGATGAGGCCATGGGTTATTGAATTGTCCACAAGACGTTATATGTTCCCACCTTGCTTCAAGTACTTTACTATCTTTCAGGCCATGTATGCCCCTGCAGTGCTTCTTCCCCATTACCCAGCCTATCCAGTCCAAAACACTAAAATAACGAGATGGTTTCATCGTCATTTTCATTACAACAAATAAGAGCATATAAACTGCATACAATGTCACCTGTTGCAAGAGGAAAGGCTTGCTGTATTTACATTAATTGCTTTATTTACCACCATAATAATGAATTCAAGTATTTTAATGTACAATGGGCACAAAATCATGATATAATCCAGTTTCATAATAAAATTGTGGGAGATGGATGACATTTTTAAGCACAGATATACAGAATTCTGTATAGTAATAAGAACACTTTTTGGGGGGAGGGTGGAGGGAACTTTGTGATGTAATTTAGGATTTTTTTTATTCATCTTTCTTTCAATAAACAGATCATAAAAATGAAAAGCTTTTAGCTTGCTTCTGCAAAGCTCATTGTATGAATAAATCTATCCATCAGTAATTAAGCCTGTGCTAAAAATATCTTCATAATGATCCTTAGCCCAAATACATTCTTATGGCTTTAATTCCAGTGTGGTTTTGTATGAATGTTTTGAAACATATTATGTCACACTGAGATTCTACAAAGGAACAAAAATATTGAAATAAATAAAATAGAGGAATATGATTAGCTACTGACTGGATTTTTCCCCCTAATTATATCTGGAGAGGTTAATGCAGGTATCCACATCAGAAATGAGATCATTGTTTTGATGAAACACATCTCTCAAGACAGAGAGCAGTGTTCATTTATTCACATGGGTTCTTATTAAATAGGTACTCTCTTTCAACCCATAATGTTTAACCAAACTGGGCTATCAAAGTTCAAATAAACTGTAATTCCCTTGGAATTTATAACCTTGAATGGAACATTGAAAATCACCAATAATTTGTGTTAAAGGGACACTATAGTCACCTGAACAACTCCAGCTTAATGTAGTTGTTCAGGTATGATCTATAGCTCCCTGCAGGCAATCTAATGTAAACACTGTATTTTCAGAGAAAATACAGTGTTTACATTGATTTATAGGAATACCTCCAGTGGCCGTCACCCAGACGGCCACCAGAGGGACTTCCTATCATGTAGGGCCCTAAAAAGGCCTTGTACACGTCAGACGTATTAAAATACGTTTGATGTTTGCAGGAGAGAGAAGGCACTGTGTGCGCGCCTTCTCTCTTCTGCCTGTGCGGTAATGCGCTCAGGACTGAATGCCGCCCTCTGAAGTATGTGCGCATGTGCGGCAAAGCCGCACATGCGCACAAGGGAGCAATGACGCTTCAAAATGGAAGCGTCTGATTGCTCCCTGCTCGCGCCCGCCTATTTCGTCATTTTGACGAAATAGGGGGCGCGGCTTCACGAGGCTCCCGGCGCTGGAACCAGGTGAGTAAAAACGGGCTGCCTGGACGGGCTGCCTTTAATCTTTTTTCATGAGATGCTGTTTTCTTTTAAATATATATTAAATATTTGGGAAAAAACAACATCATAATCCAATCCAGGCAAGGCCAGGGCAAAACGTTGCAAACGAAGAGTAGAGATTAACCCATTAAGGACCGGCCTGTTTTTGCAATGTTGTACGTTAAAGACCAGAGCGGTTTTAACACTTTTGTGGTGTTTGTGTTTAGCTGTAATTTTCCGCTCTCTCATTTACGGTTCCCATACAAAATATATATTGTTTTTTTCAGGACAAGAAGGGCTTTCTTTACATACCATTATTTGTATCATGTCATATATTTTACTTTAAAAAAAAAAAATATGGTGAAAAATTGAAAAAAAAAACATGTTTTTAGACTTTTACTTGAAAAATCTTTTAATTATTTACTGAAGCTAATGAAAAAAACTGCTAAATAGATTAAAAATTTTGTCCTGAGTTTAAAAACACCCAGTGTTTACGTGCTTTTTTGAAAGTTGCAGGGCTATAAGTACAAGTAGGAAATTGCTCTTTCAATATATATAATTTTTACATTTATCAATAGTGACATTCTAATACTGTTATCGGTCATAAATCCCCGAATCACACCCCACATGTACATATTTTTTTTAAAGTAGACAACCCAGGGTATTGAATATGGGGTATGTCCAGTCTTTTTTAGTAGCCACTTAGTCACAAACACCGGCCAAAGTTAGCATTTATATTTGTAAATGCAAAAAACGCTAACTTTGGCCAGTGTTTGTGCCTAAGTGGCTACTAAAAAAGGCTGAACATACCCCATTTGCAATACCTTAGGTTGTCTTCTTTTGCATATGGTATGCCATCATGGGGGTAATTCTCATTCCTGGGCAACAGGGCCATCATAAGAAATTTTGGGACCCCTGACAAAGCACAAGGTCTGGGCCCTACACCACCCCCTCCCACCTGGGCCCGCCCACGCTCTACCTAGTCCGCTGACAGTGATGCAGGACTGAATGTGGTGTGTATAGTGGAAGTGAATTAGAATGTGTGTAATGGATGTAGTGTTTGTGTGTATTAGATACTGTTTGTGCAGTGAATGCAGAGTGTGTGTTTGTGTAGCGGATGCAGTGTGTATAGTGAACGCAGAGTGTGTTTGAGTAGTGGATGTAGTGTGTGTACAGTGATGTAGTGTGTGTTTGTGTAGTGGATGTAGTGTTTGTATGTACTAGATGAAATGTGTTTAGTGGATGCAGTGTCTGTAGTGGATGTAGTGTGTGTATTAGACGCAGTGTCTGTGTATAGTGAATGCAGAGTGTTTCAATTTGTGGTGGATGTAGTGTGTACTGTGAATACAGGATGTTTGTGTAGTGGATGCTGTGTGTACAGTTAATGCAGAGTGTATGTTAGTGTAGTGAATGCAGAGTGTGTGTCAGTATAGTGAATCCAGAGTGTGTGCATAGTTTAGTGAATGCAGAGTGTGTGTTAGTGTGTAATGAATGCAGAGTGTGTGTTAGTGTGTAGTGAATGCAGGGTGTGTCAGTGTTATGAATGTAGTGTGTGTT